AACAGGGTTGTAATCCTTAAAAATACGGGCCACGTCTATTAATTTGGTCATCTCCTAAAGCGTTCACAAAATTCTGAAATATTCTTTCAGCGAATACTCTTTTTTACCCTATCGTGCTCAACTTCGCTAGGCGGATAATCATCGTCGTCATCATGTAGATTTGACAGTGTAAGAAAAGCATATTTGTTTGCAAGATCATGAATTTGCTGAAATCAATGTAATTTATCACTACTGATCCTGTTTATGACAGACAGCATTGCCCGTCTCAACTCAGCAACAAATCGCATCGATGTGTCAAACAATTCTTCACCATCCATTCGTTTCGTTTGGCGCATTCGACGCTTCATGTTTATTTCTAATTTAGAGCTGTTTGTGTTCATTGATTGCACTGTCCACCATTTTCACTCTTTTTTAAGGTAGGCTAACGCTTAATGTTGTGAGCTTAACAGAACATTACTGCAGGTTCAGCCCTTTGTTTGTTGATATTTCTGTGTATCACTGCTTTTTGGGAGAAAATCTCTCAAATGGCTCAGAAACGAAGTAAACGGAATTAAACATGCATCTGATCTTGTGGTTGCCTTTTTACTTTGCGAATCGCTCCACAGAAGGGATGATTCCAGAGTATTACTTCACCACGAAATTTGCATCGTTGCTCGACTATCCTGGCTGGTTTCCATGGCCTCTTGACACTTGGACCGGTCACTTTAATCAAGACGTTTCACGAATAACAAGGTCATACTTGCCTGACAAATGTACGATTTTCAAAAAATTCCCCATATTCCCCTTATCTCCTTTATTAGCTTGTATGTCTCCTCGGTGACCACACAATGCCATGTTCTTCTTGGCGAGAAGCCCGATGATATCAAGTAGTCTAGTTAGAATTCCACGCCACTTGTTCGTTTCTTTTCTACAAATTCCTGCTCCATTTTGTCAATTACTTTCCGTTCAAATAGTTGGATATCTAGCTCTTTACATTTGAGGTGTACCTGAGAATGCAATTTACCAGATTCGTGTTCGCGTACCTGTTTATTTAATTTCCACCAGTTTCGGAAATCCTCATCAGTCAAAAAACTAAACTATCCCGTTGAATGCATTCTGCAGGCGAAGTTAAACGGCCTCTTTGTGAGGTGATTACACCATCTATGTTCGCAACATTTGCTCCCCGTTTCACAAATCCCGAAAAATCCAGTTTGTTGCTAGCTCCCTAGCTTTGGCTTTTGTATTCATTCCAGGTCGCGCTATTTGATATCATGATCCAGGTGCAGCACAGCAGTATATCCCGACCGGACAAGCATAGTGCGAATTTCATGGTCAATCTTAACTGGCCACAGACCAGCATCCGTGAAATCGGTTGATATACATGTTATCGGGTCAGATGGCGGTTGCTTCTCTAGTTATTCAAGTTCGTTCGCAGCTTCTGCATATGCATTACAGACATTTTCCGCTGCATCGATGCTGTCGATGTCGCTCTCTGATGCTCTGATTTTAACGGTTGCAGTGCCAATTTCACCTTCGGTCTCAGTATGCTTATCGCCTTTCGTTGTTATCACCTCAGTCACGGAAGTACTTTTGATGAATTCACACATGGCATCGAACAGTTGTCTGCAAAAATATTCCGCGCTTGTCACAGGCCGCCCGAAGCGGACCGTTCCCCCCCCCCTCTGCTCCGGACTGGCGACTGCCAGGTGTTATGCCCATTGTTGAGTGTCATCAGCATTAGCCTTCTTTCCCGCGACTTCTTGGGCATCGTGAGAGGCGATTCACTGAAAGCCACGCTGGCTTTCGCCCTGATCACTACTGCACCAACCACATACTCACTCATCGTAAAGTGTTAGAGCAGACACACTTACAGCAGAGTGACTATGAGGTGTTTCTCTTGCCTGAAATCCGTCCTCGGTGCTGTTGATGGAGTCAGATCGTTGCGCTAATTATCCCTGAGACACGTGCTAAGGAAACTTGTTTTCCTCCTAAAGTCTCTCTACAGTGACTCCCGAGGCCGATCTCCATGGGAAGCCTTCTCCTGCGTTTCCCACTATAAGTGGGATTCGCCAGAGGTACGCTATATTGCCTTTCCTCTTCAAGTGTTTAAGCAAAACCACCATGAGTGACTCCATTCTTTCAGACTCTACCGGAATGGAAGTTATGTTAGGTGGCCGGCTGACAAATCTTGAGTATGCGGACGACGTAGTTCTCCTTGGATCTGACGCGGTGTTTATACGAACACTGCTGAATAGACACGTGTAACACCCCGCGCTTCAGCATGTGCTTTTCACCTTTAGTGTAAAGTACTGTTGCAGGACTGGACCCACACACCTCCTGTTCTAACAATCAACTAAGTCACTGGACGTGATGGGTCGGTTTATTTACCTTGGTAGCTATGCCACCTCTGCTGGTCACCTCACTGAGGATGTTAAATCGCGTATCAGCAAGGCACTTGTGATCTTCCAGATGATCAGCCATGTATGGAGGCGGCAGGATATCAGGCTGTCAGAGAAAGGTAGGGTGTATAACGCAGCGTTACGACCGGTGTTACTGTATGAGCAGAGATCTGGCCAGTTCGCGGCGAAGACCTTAAACGCTTTACCGTGATTGACCACCGTCGCTTGCGGAGTATTGGTCACGCCTAGTGGGAATACCTTCTGAGTGATGCTGAGTTGCGACAATTCGTTTTTGCGGAGAGGCTTTCTGCTTCCTCTCTCGAGTGCTTACTGGATCGTAAGCGTTTACAGTGGTTATGTCATGTTCTCCGTATGTCCGTTGACCAGCTTCCTCTGCGTGCATTATACGCCCTGGCTGCAGCAAGTTGGGCGAAATGACGAGGTGGCGATTTTTGATGACGGCATAAGGGCACAAGGGAATTAACCGAGAGACTTGGTCAGGCTAGTGCATGCCGTGTTTGTGGATGGGGTCCTTGGGACAATCAACATCAGTGGTTGAGGACCATTTCAGACATGGCGTAATCAGTGGCGTTCCTGCATTCGGTTTCTTGCATCTGGTTGTTATTTTTCATTCCATCAAGTTTCATTAAACGCACCTTTTTGATTCCCTTTTCTTTACGTTTTCTTTGCATTCTGTCTCATTTTCTTGCCATTGTTTTTTATCCTTATTCTGGTGAAGTGATTCGTGGCAACTGGATCCATCACATTTCGCCGTCCTGATCATAGTTGTTCAACTGAACTGATAACATTGGAGGATGAGCCACGCTATATCGCAGTTAGTAGTCAGCCATGACGTTTCACGACCGTCACCCATGGCTCAGTGACATAAGTCGGTTACTCGTAAGGTTTAGGTCGGGGATTCGAATCTGGCAGGATCTGGCGGGTTTCGCGCAACTAACAAGTCCCAATGGCATGAACCGACCGTTTAGCCCTTTTTAGTGACGTGTTGTCTCTCTGACTGGGTCTCATTGTGACGAATTTTCTGAAAAACGTCAACTTAGTCTCAGTGAACGAAATGTTGCATAACATTGCTTTGCGGTCTGTGTTATCACATGATTCGGAACATGGCCACTGCCTGCTGTAATCATGCAGAGGCTATGCGTTTTGACCACCGATACCTAGGCTCTTATCGTTTGGTACCGCAAGATACACCGGTTGGATCTTTCCAATAGGCCACCTGGCGCTACACTTGGCCCTTCTACCTTGATTGGTCATGGTCTTCGAATACCAGCCCAGCCCTGCTGCATGCAGCAGATAAGGCGACCTTTGCTGAGGTTCGCGACGGCCGATGCGGGATGTAATTAACGTTTCAGGAAATATTCATGGGTGTATGTGGGCTGAGATACTACCAGGAAGCCCAGACCTAGAGAGGAGAACGACTAGGGTCCTCAACCAAGGCCTTTGGCTCAAATACCTATCCACAAGACAGCAGGTAGGTAGCAGTGATAAAGTTTTACAGAAATGGACGCCTCCCATTTTATACCCCCAACCTGGAGGAGCGGAAGAATGAGTTTGTCTGACCTCTAACCATTGACCAAGCTGGTAGCAGTAGCTCTCAAGGCACCCGGGGGCACTACCTAATATAGCTCAATAGATCAAAGTGGTACGCAAACCATCGCACCACATTAAGCTCCAGTCTCGTTGTGACTAATGCTACCTACCTCTTATGGAGGTAGGTAACCTTAGCAGGGAAACGCTAACTTGCGCACCTGACTCTACGAAACTAGTATCAAAAGTAAGAAAGCGTTGTCTGGTGAAACGTCGAAAGCAAGAAGAAAGCGGTCGCATGCGAAAACGCTGTTGATTTTTCGACTACAGCACGTTCGATGGTCTTTCTGTGTTTAGTTTGCCATCCCCGAGACCCTTGTTCTGGAAACCAGTATGCACTAACTCGGCCGCTTCTCTCGTTCAGTTTCTGTGCCCTCGATTGCCCATCCTGAAACTCTTCTCAACTGAGTAAGGGGTCTTAGAACAGCACGGTCCGTTGCTGATTATCAGTGATCGTACAAGGGAATGTTCTGTCCAGCCTAGATCGTCCAACTGCCGAGATAGTTTATTGTTGCACGAGAGGGTTTGTTGCTACATACCAACGAACAAGCGTCACTAATACTCAGTCGGTGCTCCCACCAGCTTTGAGCAATACTATACGGCTACTAAAAGTTGGAGCCGCCTATTTTCTCAGTATTTTTCACTTGTACTAATCATATCCCCCTTGTGTACTAGTAGCGGCGGCTACGATGCATCTTTGTACCCCTTGGGTTTGACCGATGCGCCGATATCCCACCACTCTAGTGTCGATTGTACTTCTGAATAGTCGCGTGGTAGGAATGTCAATAATCGTGTAACGATAGTATTGCTGTTTCCCATTATGTTCAGCTAAGTCATTATAAGATCCTTGGTGTCCTAACGAAATATATACTAGTATCTTTTTGGTATACATTCTGCGATATTCCATGGGACAGTCAAAGCCGTAGCTCAACTGATTGCCGGTTTCCCGCTGAACTGAGTGTTTCTGCCTTAACATCGTCCATTTCTGTCACACTTTCCTGTTTTCTATTCCAGTCACCCACAACAGTTACTGATCAAACTCCATTGGAGACCGTGTTGGACTTCTTCCGAAAACTTGGCCTGCGCCAAATACTGGTCACTTACAACGGGTGCGAATTGTCACTACTTTCAGTTCCTGGCTTAAGTTACTTCAGTCTTTGGTGCAGAGCTATCCTTTCAGTTTATTTATCTCATTAACAAATATTATGCTCTGTTGCTCATAGCTAAGGGCTTCATTTCTGGTTTTACTGTGCCCCGTGTGTCCTTCCCCAGTCAATGCTCCCCAACCTTTAGAATTCTCGTTCTTGGGAGCTGTACTTATTTTGATAATTCGTGGTTTCCCCTCCCACTACCTCTCTTCTTAGATCGCATCTTGATTGCGCTCGCTTTTCAGCCGTGAATGTCAGCCGCACCTGCCCGCGGATTTCTGATGTTTTTTCCCACCTTCTCCTAAAGCAGCGTTTCAAAAACAACATCTACACGGTTTTTGTTTCCCTCTTCACCTAATTGGCTTGTAGGCTCCTCTTCTCATTCCTCCAATAATCTGACTTTCTTGACGACTGTACCTGAACTATTCGTTAGTCATCAATACACCAGTATTTGTTGTTGTGGCTTAGGATTTTGACGCACGGCAATTTTCCTCACTGTTTCATTGCTTCATTTCCTTCGCTACACACCTGTGTTGCACTGCGTTAAGCCCTGCTTGCTCAACCTGTTCCTAACCACGAGTCACTTTAGTTGGCGTTAACGTTATTTGATACTTCGCCTCACTCCCACCACATTATGGTATACCTAAGCAATCCTAATATGCGGATCCTCAATTGCACCAACTTTCTGATATTACTGAGGAATGTGAGTAACGCAGGAAATCGGGTGGACAGTTTCCCCTGCTTCTAATTAGTGACTCACGGTTGAACACAGAAATGCCCAGTGTCCATAATTTCTAGTCGATTTTTCATCATTTGGAACCATTTATCAAAGTCACACCTTTATTATAGAATACTGGTCGATGTGTAACTTCATCCTCCTTCGCTTTTCATTTTAGCTGTCTTTTGGGGATCATAACAAAAAAGGATCTTATTCGACATCTCTTGCGCTATTCGCAGAAAGTGTGAGCCCTGCATCTTGTCTATTTATTTGTGAAATCCTACCGATCTTTTGAGTTTTGGTCGGGCTGTTTACCTCATATTGACCTCATCCTTTTTAACGTCATGCTTGTTTTTTCCTTTTCTTTACTTCTCTCTCCTGATGACACTGCATCTTCATTGAAACTCGGCGTCAAACCGAGTCACAATAAAGCGCGTCTTTCCAAATGTTGTGTTCTTTACGACCTAACTTGTATCCTGTCTATTTTTTTATGGTAAATCCGTCTACCCTATAGGCATTATCATCTACCGCACTTACTGCCCCGGTTTCTCTGTACTTTTGTTTCCACCCACGATTTACTACCCATTTGGCTGTTTTTTACTTCCCTCTGTGGATCCCATCCAATGCATACTAAACCTCGTATGAGCGTGACTACTTGCCAGCATTCACTTATTGGAATGTCTTCAACAATCACTGGTGTGTTTAAGCCTTACGGAGTAATTATCTCACATTTTGGTTGTCACCAGCCATGGCTTTTCTATTTAGACTTCTTCGATCTCAGCGTCTTTTTCGGTTAAGTCAGCGAGATGCTCTTGCTCCTCCTAAGCACTTTCTGTAGCTCACCTTGCCTCTAGTGTTGACCTCTTCTCTCATCAAGATAAGTTAATATAACCTTTGTGTACCCATTTCACTTTAGATTGGACGTTTTCCAAATAACATTGTACATTTCAGTTCGTGCGGTCCTGCAAGGTTAACATTACCAACTCTCTCTTGTATGGTCGCGTCTGGTCAGAGGTCCCACTGTCGCTTTCACCTTCGGAAACACGTGTTCTACTGGGTTTAGCATGTACGGGTGGGGCGACAGGAAATCCAAATTATGAGACGAGCTCAGGATCCTCCCTAAATCGACGACACTTCGATCCTGGCGTTGTTCACGATTGGCGCTGCACCGTCAATCTCCACTCTGCAGCGTATACGCCCAAGAATTCCCTCGATGCACATAAAGAACTTTACATCACTGCAGGTACCACCGCCGAAAAGTCTGAGTGGACGATGCCTTGGTTGTTCATTTTCACAAGCAGCGTCACCATGCTTCCTCTGAATGCGGACTAGCTGACGTTTGCGCGCGTCTCTCATTTTGTGCCAGCTTGCGTCTGCCTCAGATAGAGCTTGAACGTACTCCTATGTGAAGATGCATTTCTCTTTACCATGCTGTGCATTAACCGAGAAGTCAAGAGCGCAGGCTTCCCAGCTTGCGATCGTCGTGGAGCTGTTGAAACGGTCTAGCTCATAGTTTCTCTTCTTTAGCGTTATCTTTAGCATCCTGAGGGCGTTGAAGACGATAGATACAAATAAATGCATCCCGTTCTTTCTCAGCCGCTGCTGCAGCTGCAACAATTTGTTCACTGAATGCCATTCAGCGGCCTCCAACGCGCGGCAGTACAATGGGAGTCAGCTTCTGCGTTGTTTCCTCCACGTTTGCGCTGAATGTTGATGCCTCTTTGCCTTTGGGAAGTGATACTGCTTCTTGTCGTGCTCTCGTTAGCTTCGTGCGTGTTTTTTCTGTCGATGAACACAAGCCTGATGAGGATCTCCTTCTGTTCCACACGGTTGGCCCGAATCGAAGCTCTTACTTTTTGTGGACCGTTCCTCACCAATTTGCTGCACATCATCGAACTTGCGTTCATTCGACTCTTATTTATCAGCTATGCAAGTGACATACATGCCATTCGAAATATTCTTATCGTTTCAGCGGCTGATTCACGTGTGTTTTTGTGACAGCTTTTATTGCTGAAACTCAGCAGTGCTGTACTTCATTTCCAAGCACTTTGTGGCATTTTTACACTCGTTCGAAATATCTTCCTTGAGGCCATCAAGTCAGCCAAAAATCATTCTCCAGTACCATTTTCCAGTTGTTGTCTTGCGTTTCCCAGTAGGTTGCTGCTTGCCCAGCATTCATTCGGTAACGATCGATACCCCAGAACCTGCCGGCGCTCTTTGTGACGTTGTCAACCAATCCGCTGGCGTAACCCATCACCTCAACCAGCGTAGCCATATCGCCTTGTCCGCCGTCACTGAACCTTCCTAACCACATCGTTCGTTTGCTTCCTGTGTGCAACGAATCAAAGTCCGAAAGTAAACAACAAACTACCTCACTTTTTTAGGTAAGACCACCATTCTGAGTAGCAGAAAGCAGGTGAATTTGAATTCCGCAACGATGATGTGCGTAAGCGAGTACTAGGCAGTAATAACCAGGGTAGTTCCTTAGAACAACAGATAGAGCTAAATAAGTTACGTTGGCTTGGCACGTACTACGTATGCCTGGTCATCGCTTACCGATGAGGGCATCGTTTTGTTTGTCAGATGTATGGTGGCTTAAAGCCCGAGGTGGGCATAAATTAATTTGGCAGTGGGAAATAAAATCACTGACACCCAAACTCGGTACCTCGATCCGTCTAATCTTCTAGGCCACAGTCCACGTGACCCGACTTCAGAATTTACAGGATATGGCTCACAGTCGACGCTAGTGACGTGTCCGCTAGCCGGATAGCCTGTTTGGTGCTGAGTTGTCTGCGGCGTAATGGCAGTGAAAGCTGCAAGGAAGCTGTCTCGCTGATGTCGCCTTATCTTTGCTCGATATCTAGCTATCTGTGATGGCATGTGATTGACAAGGTGTAGGCGTCTTGACCCCGGTTGTTTGTTTAGGGAATTAGTGTAGGTCCCCATTCTCTCCCTCTCATTGTTCTTCGTTCCGTAGTTCACCGTGGTTGTACGGCCGTGAAGCAGCAGTCCAAACGGCTGATTTACCATTGTTGTTGACGATGATGGTGGTGATAGCTGTGAATCCGAAAGGGTGCTAGGCGAAGTGTCTGTGGGTCGTACGAATGTAGTCGATTAGTCCTAATCGGTTTAGCTTGCTCACACTGTTCCAAATGTTGTAATCTAAACTGTGCAACTCTCCCAAGAAGAGGTCAAATATCGAAATTGCTCCTAAGAGGTCTTATGGCTTTTACTGCGTGTGCTACCATCCCATTAGTCAAGTGTATGCTTAATCTAGTCCAAAATTGCGACCGGTTAAATAAATGCATAATTCCCTTATTCTCGGCAGTGCGACACCAGCCAGTAAAGGCATGATCATGGTACTACAAACATGTATGATCGGCAATTGCGCAGAAGAATTACAGGTTAACCGGTAACATATGTGTATGTATGTATGTAGTCAATTTCGATAACATTTTCGCGTTTGTGACATTTTTTAAACTATATTTTCTGACGTCTTGAATTTATCGCAAATTCCTTCGTAATCAATTTATTTTAAGCGCCCATTAGTGAAATTATGCCGCCGTATCTGTATGCATTATTCGATATCTTTTATTTGATATTGTCGTTTCAGGTGATTGCCTGTTGCTTGATATCTTCGGTGTGGCTGCGCTTGATGTGCATGTTGACAAGGTGTCTACCTGTCTACTACCCGCCAATTCGTCCATACTTGCTCCAGGAGGCAGTTAGTCGTTGATGGAGGGGGCGGGGTGCACGGTCCTTGTGGCCGTGTTAGGATCAAAGAGTGGTTCCATGCACTCAGTGTGAAGCAGACTACGGTCCAGCCACCGCCTTGTGTGCGCTTGATTTTCAAGTACAGCGTGCTTGTGTTTGATTGTGAAGCAGTGTGGGCCGACTCCGTTGGTGGGACGTGACTCCCATTCACATGCCTCCCGGTCTTATTCCTTAGGGTTTACATTGAATACGGGTGAGATGTGTGCATGGAACTGTGGATGATGCAGCGCAAGCCATCCATGGTCCCTCTGTATGCGTAAACGTCCTGTGACTTGTGACAGGCAAATCCGAAATTGGTTGCTGCCAACCATATGTTAGTGGACGTGGTGAGTGGACTTGTGCAGCGTGACTGAATTCCTGTTTTTCTTTGTTGTGTTCGCCATCATATGAAGGGATCGAAGTAACTCTTCGAACTGGATAACGTTCGTGAAGTGGGGGTCTTCCGGAAACGAGAGAGGCAGTGACTATTTAGTGGCGAGTCACATTCGCCAAGTCATAGTGTTGTTAAACGGACCTTTGTGGCTTTTTATATATGGAGAACGCTTACCAGACGAAAACCCAACACATCCTGAAACACTGTTGCCGAACTATTCCCTAGGACTGGATTAATCCGAACCACCTAGCTGGCACCAACTGAAGGTTGTTCGGCTAGTCAACCGGTCTCAACAACGATGAGGCAACCGAACGCCGGTCTTCTGCACCTGCAACTCAAGGTATCTAGGCGATTTCAAGCCCCCCGATAATTCAATCAACTTTGCAGAGATCGCCGCGACCGTCATTCGGCTTATCACACTTCAAGTTTCCTCTGTTGCGAGCACCATTAACGCAAAGGGAGACAAACTTTAGACCATCGCCACCTGGTATAGTACTACGACCAGTGATCATCGGACCTTGCAGCTCAACAGAAAAGGGTTCCAACGAAAATACCATGACTGTTGTGTGCAAAAGTGTCCTCGAATCTACCGCCATCACATTGTGGGGCACGTTATCTGATGACCAAAACCAGTGGAACTCATTGTGTATTTTGATGAATGTAAAAGCCAAACCCATAAACCTAGTGCGCATTACTCATTACCCGAACTTTGCATACTGCGACGCACTCAGACTTATTAGAGTGGCATTAGAATCTCCAACTATTGTAGAAAACCTTCTACTCTCCGCTAGTGTACGACAATGTGGACCCAGTGGCATACGCATCTCTCCTGAGATCCCTTGGAACACGCGACAATCGAAAAGAAACATCACATAGGAACTCATCAAGCAAACTTGTCTAAGATTAATCGTTATTTATGGCGTACCAGAGCTTCTTTCTCACGATAGGCAAGAGATCAGAGGTCACGATTTGAAATAGGGCGGTTCATTCGCGAAGCACTTGGACAATGCCGTTGCTCTGTCGCTCAAACCCGGCCAAAAACCATTTAATCCATCAGCAAACAAGGGTGCTAATTTGCTATCTCTCGTGCTTCTTGTTGTCGGATGAAGGAAACTTCCATTTCGAAAGACGTTAAGCTGTTGGACTACAACTCACGTGGATACCGATACCCTGTAGCCTTTTCTTCTGAGCCACATTAAATTTCGAGAGACAGCCGTGTCCTCTCTCGATTTCTTTGACACTGCTTACTTTATCCCCTAAACATTATGGACCTACAGCAGCTGTATCGCACCATATCTGTGAAGACCCCTCTCTTCACTCTGGGCACAAGGCAATAGTAACTCACAGATACATATCTAGTTTGTCTACCGCCAAAGTGGTTGCCAACATGTGTATCATTGGGTAGAGGTGTGGCTCATTTGCACTAAGCAGGGGCTTACAAGGGACCAACATTTTCACCACCTATCACTCAGGACATTTGCACCAGCGCAACCACAAATACCTAATGCTTACGCGTCCTGATTGTTTCCCCTTCTGCTTAGCAAACTAACTTATTCTACGGTATTGAGTTCGAGTGTTTTACTTATTTGCTTCCACCATCTGTATAGTGAAAATGGGGCTTTGAATCAGGTGGTGAAATACTCTGTTACGTAAGCCGATAAACTTCGCAAAAAATGTATAGCGTGAGAGTCCACAGTGACGTCGCTGAATACGACGGAAAAATAGACAGTTCCTATTTGGCACGGCGTAGTGTACACGACCAAACCTCGGTTGAGGACGTTGACATATACCAGTAGCACTGATAAGGTACATAGTTGGTGACTTACAAACATCAAATTTCTAAATATAACGTTACCAATCAGCCCGAACCGAACAGTCTCGGCAAAATTCA